CTGAAGCCTGTGACAGTGATGTGCCAATCGTGGTAATGGGCACCCATGGTGGACAGTGTTGGCTGGAGCTTCCCGACTAAATCAAGCCTGGAAGCAGGAGTGGCATCCACTTCCAAAATGGCTTGCCTCTGGAAACTCTATGTATGAACAGTGCTCAGGCTGTTTGTTCATAGGGTCACTATGAGTCGTCTACGACTTGACGGCATTAAACAACAACAACATCATTAAATAGATAATTTAGTCAATTCCAGTTATCTAGGAAGTGGGCAAAGAAAAATACGTTAGGTATTTCATTTCATTCTCATGTTTCTGTTTTTAAATTTACTGATAGTTTTATTGTGGTTGGATAATTAAAGATTTCAAAAGTAGGCTTAGGAAGCCAGTCCTTGATTCACCCTTCTTTTGCATTCTTGGCTAGCAAGCTGGCTACATTTATCTCAAGATAAAAGTGATGTATAATTTTCTTGTCATCTAAAGTTACCTTCACTGAAAGGACCAATCACTCTGGGTCTTTTTCTACCATTTTCCTATCCTCTTTGTTGTCATTCTTGCTGATCTGCCTTGGTGACATGATCCCTGATAAATCATGATCTATAAACCCTGGTAAGTATTCTGCTCCATTGGTCTATTCTGTTTACCTTATTCTTTTGCAGCCTGAGCATCAGTACTCTCAATCAATTCTCCATGCATAGAGATGTCTGCAATACTGTGGTCAGCCCATAGACTTGATATCTCACCGGGGGGAATTGCTTTCTATAGTGGGGATGGTTCTGTTTAATGTGACCTTTTAGAACTTTCTCTAGTACTTCATTCTTTGCTTCACTGCTGATATTCTGGTATTTGTGCTGATAATTGGGTGCATGATCTAACAGTGATGCATGATAGCACTGGTCATTGTGTACTGCACATTTGTTATCTTTAGCTGTAAAGGCAATCAGAGCTGAGAATAAGCCATTTCCATATTCTCTTTTCAGAACATCAAGCTCCATGGTCTTAAATTCTTTCACTACAAGGTATCTCTTCCAGGAGATATTCGTTATGAGCTGTGAGCTGTACAAGCATGTCTTCCTTGGTGTCATTCCTGTTGATGAAAACATTAATTTCTTATATTGTACATTTTGGTTGTTTCCAGTTTTGCTGGAGAAGTTCTGCTGTTTATGAAGAAATCAGCACTTATTCACCCTGTACTATCTTATCCATTATGCCAAGTGTGGAAGAGGGGCTGGTAGGTGACTCTACATCTCTTCCTTTTCCTTGTAGTGGTTATGTCATCATGAAAGACGCTTGGGCTTTCTGAAGTTTAATGTACCCTTCTGTTAGCAACAGAACCAAAGGAGTGCAACCAATACAGCTTTTTTCTTTACTGAGTCTACCAGGAATACTTTGAATACATTTGAATACTTTGCCTCATTTAGTTGTCATTCTCTAATCTTGGACAAGACTTTAAGTCCTGTTATATACTTTCCATATAAGTTTGTTTCTTTACTGAGACTCTCCTTTTTGTTAATTAGTATATTTTTTTTTAAATTCATCACAGTACCCAAAATAACCTCAAGGATACTCCTCCCTATACCTTTGCTCTTTTCTCATGTATATTTCAAAGGCTTCAGCTATTCTTTTTCTATTTCTATTTTGAACTGGTACTTGTTCTACATTTGCACATTCTAGTTAATCTCTTACATTTGGCATCTTCAATTCCAGCAAACACTACATGAGTCTAATCCTCCACTTCCTTTCCTAATGCTCAGAGTCCTAGACTTGAATTTCTAATCTTTCTCACCTCAAATGATTTCTTCTACTACTTATAACTTTCCCATACCTACAAGTATTCTTATGTTTCATTCTTAAAACCATGGGATCTTGGCCAGACTTTAGTTTATCTTGTTTTAAACAGTGATTCGTGAATTTTAGTTTCATTTTCCATTGCCAATGAATCCCTGTCCCAAATACTTGCTTTAGTTTAGTTCATCTGTATCTCTTTTTAGCCATTCCTGTCAACTTTATCCTATTGTTGACTTTTTAATTAGTATCTTAAATAATGCTTACTCATTTGTAGAGATTATCTATGGACTTGAAGTAGGCACTCTCTTGTTACCATTTTTATATTTTAACATTTTCCTTAGCTCTTTCCAACTTCCTCTCCAAATAGTAGGACAGTATTTGAAAACCTTCAGAATTTCCTACAGGATCTATTTTTTGTTTTATTAGATTATTCCCATAACAGCAATTTTCTATTAGAATATACTGGCACTTTTTTTTCCCTCTTTCAGATGGGGAGACAAGACCTGAAAATAATATGTCATCCACACACTTAGGCATTTCTGGAAAAATGTCCTGTGCTGCAGCAGTAGTGGAAAAACTAAAAATAAGTGATCATAGAAGTTTCAACACCTTAGGAACATATGAATCTGAAGGCAATCTAGCTAGCCAACAGGAAAACCAGCAGACACTGCCAAGGGAAATACAAAGGGAAAAGACAATATGCACTTGGGAGAAAGATGCTATAAATAATGAGAAGGGGAAAAGCATCAGTATGAATTCAGACCTTATAATACAACAAGAAGTATCTACAGAAGAGACCCCTATGAAATGTAACAGACATAAAACTGATGTCAAACAGAATTTAACCCCAATTAAAAAAGACAAATCATGTAAGTGCAATGAATGTGGAAAAGCTTTCAGTTACTGCTCTGCTCTTATTCGTCATCAGAGGACACATACTGGAGAAAAACCTTACAAATGTAATGAATGTGAAAAAGCCTTCAGTCGTAGTGAAAACCTTATAAACCATCAAAGAATCCATTCTGGAAATAAACCTTATAAATGTGATCAATGTGGAAAAGGTTTTATTGAGGCTCCATCTCTTACTCAGCATCAAAGAATTCACACAGGAGAAAAGCCCTATAAGTGTGATGAATGTGGGAAATCATTTAGTCAAAGGACCCATTTGGTCCAGCATCAGCGAATTCATACAGGTGAAAAGCCATATACTTGTAATGAGTGTGGAAAAGCATTTAACCAGAGAGGCCACTTTATGGAACATAAAAAAATTCATACAGGAGAAAAACCTTTCAAATGTGAAGAATGTGATAAAACTTTCACTAGGAGCACACACCTTACTCAACATAAAAAAATCCATACTGGAGAGAAAACCTATAAATGTAATGAGTGTGGGAAGGCCTTCAATGGACCATCGACATTTATTCGACATCATATGATTCATACTGGTGAGAAACCCTACGAGTGCAACGAATGTGGGAAAGCCTTCAGTCAACACTCAAACCTCACACAACATCAGAAAACGCACACTGGGGAGAAACCCTATGATTGTGCTGAATGTGGAAAATCCTTTAGTTACTGGTCATCCCTTGCTCAACATCTGAAAATTCATACTGGAGAAAAACCTTACAAATGCAATGAATGTGGGAAAGCCTTCAGTTACTGCTCATCCCTTACTCAACATCAGAGAATTCATACTAGAGAAAAGCCCTTTGCATGTAATGAATGTGGAAAGGCTTTCAGTTACCTCTCAAACCTTAATCAACATCAGAAGACACATACCCAAGAGAAAGCCTATGAATGTAAGGAATGTGGAAAAGCCTTTATTCGGAGTTCATCTCTTGCAAAACATGAGAGAATACATACTGGAGAGAAACCCTATGAGTGTCAAGAATGTGGGAAAACCTTCAGTTATGGCTCATCCCTCATTCAGCATAGAAAAATACATACTGGAGAAAGACCATACAAGTGCAATGAATGTGGAAAAGCCTTCAACCAGAACATACACCTTACTCAACATAAGCTAATCCATTCAGGAGCAAAGCCTTATGTGTGTGCAGAGTGTGGTAAAGCCTTTCGTCACTGTTCATCTCTTGCTCAGCATCAAAAAACTCACACAGAAGGGAAAGCTTACCAATGTAATGAATGTGATGAAGCCTTCAGTCAGAACTCACATCTGACTCAGCATCTACAAATTCATACTCGAAAGAAGCCCTATAAATGCAATGAATGTTACAAAACCTTTAGTCAGAGCACTCATCTGACTGAACATCAGAATCTTCACACTGGAGAGAAACCTTACAACTGTAGTGAATGCAAGAAAACTTTCAGCCAGAGTTCATACCTCATTCAACATCAGAGGATTCATTCAGGAGAGAAGCCTTTTGGGTGCAACAAATGTGGAAAAGCATTTAGATACCATTCTTCTCTCAACAAACATCAGAGACTTCATCCTGGCGTGTGATTATTCTAGGAACATTCAATCTCATCTTTTTGTTAAATGATAATGAATCAAAACAGACTGGAAAACTGTTTAATATATTTTATATTTTCACTTTATAGAACTGAAGGAAACTCTGATGACAGAGTCCATCAGGAATTGTACTGCTAACACAAAGGCCATGCCTTGTGCCTCTCTGGAGGTTAGCATCCAGCAACTTCAACAAAAAAAGATGGGTAATCCTCTCCTATATGATTTATTGTCTCAGAAACCCAGTAGAGGCCAGCTGTGATGGATTCTGACTCCCTAGCAATGAATTTTTGGTTATGAAACAAAAAGTTCATTGAATTAAACTAATCCAGTTATATAATACTAGGAAATTCAACCATGTTATGCTTCAGTTTCCTCATCTATAAAATGAGGAATTTGGAATAGACAATTTCAAAGGTACTTCGGAGTTTTGTATTAAGCTTTGTATATTCAAATTATGTTCTTGAATAGGATTATCATATATCTACATTTGCTATGTTGCATGTAAAACATATATGTTATGTTTATTTTGCCAGTAAAAGGTATGTGAACATCTATAATTAGACTAGAATCTGTTATGCTCCTGTTCAGTGTACTAAAGTTGTTTAGATCACAGCTTCATAATACAAAGAATTATAAAATACTCTCAAATCATTAATTCAGTATCATGTTACTGTTGTTCTGTACCATTGAGTCAGAAATGACCTATACTTGACCCACAGTGCAGCCTCTTACCACTAGGCCATCAGAGTTTACAATAACTTAACTCAGTCTGAGTATTAGAATATCTTGGTTTTTGTATTGTGTTTTAGTTTTTTAATAATGAGGAATTTATTGTCTCATGCATTCAGAAGCCATAAGTCCAAATTCTGAGTGTTAGTCGGGTTACTTTCATCTTCCTATTTCTGTTCTCTTTCTCACTTCTCTAGGGGAAGGTCCTTCTTTGTTTCTTTTGGCTTCTCATAACTACTGGTGATACTTGAGGTACCCTTGCTCTGTAGACAAATATTCATATAGTCTCTTCCCTTTATTTGTCAGTTTCTAGTCTGCTTTTTGTAAGATACAAGTCAGAATTGACTACATTTTAAATTTAAGACTTCTCATTAACATAACAAAAGAAAACATCTCATTCCAATCAGTGTCATATTTACAGGTTCAAGTATTGGTACTTCCACATGTCTTTTTGGTCAACATAGTTCACTCCATAACTATTGTCCAAGATGGCACAAATCAGCTTAAACCAGCTGAATATTGGAATCTCCTAAGGCACTATGAAATTTAGATCCCTAATGTGGAATCCACTCCCTAAATAACATGCCTCCAGAAACCCTATGAACTTTGATAAAATGTTGATAGTTGTAGAGGGACTTCATGCCTTTTGTTCATAGGGTCTCTATGAGTCATGCTCTACTCAAAGGCAATCAACAACAATGTGCATCCTATAGAAAACATTTGGTTTAGATGTCAGCACCCACTCCTTTCAACTCAACAAAACACTCAAGTCATTGCCATTGAGTTGGAACCAACTCATAGCTAATCCTCCTGTGTATTCTTCCCATGCAATTGGCCTCTGAAAAGCCAATGGAAAGTCAGCAATGGGAATTCAAACCATGTGACTTTGGTTTGGCATCACAGCTTTCAAAGCTCCATAATATCTTCTTTTTAAAGCCTCATGAATCAGTATATTTTCCACATATAATGCACTCACATAAATAATTCTTATAGCTTAAATTGGAAACTAACAACAAAGTTGCGTGGTTTAAAAAAATCTAATGCACATTAATAGCATAAAAATACCATATTCATGATATAATGTCAATGATACAATCTTGTAAATTGGATTCTTTTCAAACAAGTAGGTAAGATTAATTTGTTTCCTCACCAAAGTACAAAGGTTAAAAAGCACTATAAAATAATTTCATTTACTTGTCCTTTATCACCATATACCAGAAGCAGATGACAGTGTTAATGACATGCTGGAGATTTGCAGCCCACTGCTTTCTGCCAGATCCTTTTGTTGTTGCTAGATGGGCTCTGACTCATATTGACACCTTGTATAATACAACAAAACCATACCTGATCCTGTGCCATCCTCACAATCTCTGCTGTGCTTAAAAGTTTTATTGTTGCAGTCACTGTGTCAGTTCATCTCATTGAGGGTCTTCCTTTCTTTAGATGACCCTCTGCTTTTACAAACATGGCCCCTCCTGATAACATGCCTAAAGTATGTGAGATGAAGTCTTGTGAGGAGTACTCTACCGTCAAAGTCAGACTTGTTTGTTCTTTTGGCTGTCCATAGTATAGTCAATGTTCTTTAACAACAACTCAATTCAAAGGCATCAGTTCTTTGGTCTTCCTTATTTGTCCAGCTTTCAAATGCGTATGAAACTATTGAAAGCATCTTGGCCTGGAACAGATGCACCTTAGCCTTTAAAGGGACATCCTTATTTAAAATCCCACCTGGGCTGGAATTGTGGTGCAGGAAAAGTTCTCCCCCTTGATAAAGAATGAACATTTGAGACTAGAAGTAATACTGTAGCCATTTTTAAAAAGAAAAAAGATATCTACAGTCTTGAAGGGTGAGAAGAGGCAACCCTAGGATATCAGGGGTTGGAGAACCTTCCCAAATAGAAGTCACATACACGGTGTTGCCTTTTGCTCTAGCCTCTCCTTCCAAACCATAAAGTGCATGGAATCTCTGCTCTTGATCCTTTGTCCATGTGCTGCAGAGCAGGGCTTTCAAGAGCTAGTAGATTATTTGTGAAACTAGCATTTTGAAAAATTATCACTGTTTCTATCTTTAGGGTTCAGATTGCTGAAACCGTATACATATCAGACAGCATGCAGTACTCAGTCTTCCATTTATTTAGGTATAGCCTGCTTTGACACCTGATACATAGCCACCTTCACCCCTTTATGATCAATTCTTTTTTTTTTAAATTTTATTAGTTTTAACGAACATTTACAGAGATTTTGGGTTTTCATTCATTCATTGTTGCACTGTTTTCTTCACCCTCCTGCCCAGTTCGTTCTTCTCCCCC